AGAACATAAGTGGAAAAAAGTACTTTCAATATTAAGATATACTATTTTCTAATCTGTATCAATAACATTCAAACTCTGTTTTGTCAAACACGATCTAAAGGCAGTGTGGAAGCATACGGGAGAAAAATTAGGACCTCCTTCTCCACAAACATGACCAAGGCACGAGCTAAAGGCGGCTTCGCCACTGTCCTCTAGAAAGCGTTGAGCCGTTCTAGAAGCATTTCCAGAGAATCTCCACCTCCTCTGCAGACATAGTCAAGCGGGGAAGGGTTGAGTCTCTTAGTAATTTTTCTGTGGTTACGCCAGACACCTTAAAAACATTGTTTTTCTTTTCCTCAATAGACCGTCGTTGACAGGGTGTGAGTGTGGGGTGGTGGATGTGGGCGTAGTTAGAGAGGAGACCTTCATCTACGTTCACACACCCACACTCACACCCCACCCTATTTAGACGAATCTTGTTCAACTTCTATAAATAAAAATCAAATCTCATCGCTTATCATCGATGTTACTAAATATTTAAAAAAAAGTTTAACAACAGATATGATTGCACGTATATTGACACATCTTTAATATGTTCTCCAACTTACAATATTTAAATTTTTGTCCATCTTCAATTTGGTATCAAACATTATTATTTGAAAATTCATTTCCAACTATGACCTCTTTAACTCTCTTAGAACTGCATATCAGTTTGGCATCTTTCACCGACTGTCTTTATATACTTGATGGACGTTTCAATAAACTTCACACGCTTTATGTTGATATTGCTTCCATTTCCTCTTCGCAATTAACAAACAATAATCAGGTAGATTATTTCAGCTAATATTTAATTTTTTCGAACAAATTCATTATATGGTTTTTTTTATAGGAAGAACTATCTAATTTAAGATGTTTTTCACTATGTTGTGAAATGTCAACACATGCTTTTGATAAATTAATTGTACTATTTCTACAACGAATGTCGAATTTAGAAAAACTCCGTTTGAATCTTGTCATTTGTGACAAAAAATTTGTTGATGGAAATGAATTGAAGCAGAATATTATTAATCATATGGCATGATTACAGAGATTCGAATTTTATATTTGCTCAGGTATTTCTCTTCATAATCAAATTTATCTACAATCGAAAGAAGATATTCAACATACATTCAAAGATTTTAAAGATAATCAAGTTACTTCTTCTGTTGATTATTTCCAAGAACAATATGGTCTATGTCATATCTATTTGTATCCTGAGCAATTAAAATATTACTATACTGTAACAAATAATTTTCCAGGTGGCTTATTTACATGTGTTCGTAAAATTTCATTATATGATGAACATCCTTTTGAACATTAGTTTTTTCTTCGAATTCAGAAATCATTTCCATTTATGAAAACACTTTCTTTACGTAATTCGAAACCACAAAAATAACAAATTATGCAGAGAATCACAGAATGACAATCAAGATTTTTCAATCATTAACTATTCTTATCTTACTACTCTTACACTTTACGATGCTCACGATGATTATATCGAAGAATTTCAAGTTGATACGAAAATATGTTTACCGAATAATGCTGTTCATCTTAACATTTATTATGAACAAGTAAAAAAAGTGACACACAATTTTACAAGAGACACAACACGAATCAATTGTGCAAAACTAAACTCTTTATATCTCAATGGTCGTCGACTTCCTAAATATGCAAACGACTATTTTCCACATGTATAAATATTGATTACTATCAATGTTTATGTAAAATAAATTGGTTTATGTAGAATAAATGTATTAAAATAGAGACAAAATTTATTTTAGATTGGATTGAAAAGACTCACATCTGTGGATATACAAGAAGAATCATACATGATAATCATGGAATGATAAAAAACATAGTAAAAAAAAGGTAGTTATTTTACAGAAAAAATTCAGATTAACAGCTCAAAGTCGAGTTATTTGGTACCATACAACCTGAAATACATCTTTTAGAATCGAGAATAATGAGAAAGCTGAGAGGTCTAATTATTTTGATTTACCATATGAAGAATCTCCTCGAAGACGATTGAGAAGATATTATGATCCACCAGATCCACAAGGTTATTTTGAAGGACATATTTAGCAATCTCATGTCAAAGCAGAAAAAACGAAGCTGTTGAACGATTTCATCATAAGAAAATTGTTGTTGCTAATACAACAGAAGAATCACTTGAAGAAATCGACAAAAAGTTGTCAAAGATATTGAAACAAGATTGTATAAAAAAATGAAATAGAAAATAATTAATATATATCATTTGTCTATGCTCAAAAATGAACACTATTCAAAAGTAATTACAATTCTTGATATATACTAATATCACATCTTTTGTAGTAGAATTGAGTAACTAATAGAAGAGTAAATAAAGAAATCGACATTATTATCTTTACCTGTAACATAGAGCATATTGCATTCAGATGTCATTTTATCTGATTGTGCAATGATGACCTTAAAATTCATTTAGATGGAAGTATTGAATAAGGAATAAAAAAAATAACAAAACAAGACTTTGCAAAATGATACTCCAATCCACTTCTGGTCAACAAGATTTAATTATGTCAAAAGATTCAATTGATGAAAAAGACAAGTGAAAATAAGAAAGTTTATTTTAATGGATGTAAAACATTTTAGCGACATCAAATATTGAAAAAGAATTCAATACAACTATGAAAAACATATCGAAAAAAAAAATGAAGATCAAGAAGAGAAAATTATTCAACAAACTACAAATGCTATAAAAACAGTGACAGAGTAATTGTCATTATGTAACTACAATGAGACTTATTCGTTTATTTTTATAGTTTGATTTGAATTCATAGCTAATCGAGTCTTATGAAAATTTTATTATTATGATATTAGTTGAAGAATGATCAAATAGCACAGAAAGATAGAGCATTGTTTCCTAGATCACTGCATACAAAAAGAAAATCTCTTCTAGCTTTCTATAAGAAAATAAGATAATGACGCCACTACTTTTGATATGCTCTAAGTCCTTGAATAGTCATATGTCAGACATATATGGCAAGAAACAAATTCATGAGACTATGGGACAATCTTCCTGCTACGACTGCAAAGTCATATTAAATATGTCTGTTGGGTTGTGTTTACAGTAATTTTATTTTTTTATAATTAGAAGTGTGGAAAACTAGGGAAAGCAATTGCTACCCCTTGTAGTGCTGGTGCGCCACCACTGAATGATAATATTTGTCTTCTAAGAGAGATTCAAAACTGAATCAATATGAGTGTGAAAATGTATGAAAGAAGAATTCTTGATCAACTGATAAAGAAGATAAAAAAATCAAATTCTCTTATGAATAGACATGTTAGCCGCCGCCGATCAATTTTGGGGTACAGTTCACGTTTCCCCCTTTCAAAGTTCTTTTTTTTTTAATGATCACCAGTAAGATTTCAATTCGATTATTTGGGCAATTAGACATCGCTGGAAACAACAGCATTTCTATGATCTACGAATTATGACATTCTTTGCTGAGTGACTTGTGATCTGAAGATAGCATTAATAGGCAAATATTTCTCCTT